TAAATGTAACTTCACTCAATATTATTTACGTTTGACCTAACTTTTTAATTACTACCATTGACTTTTAATATAAAGTGTATTTCATCGTACATTCAATACAATCAATACACTGGTCGAATCTAAACGTAGTATGTGAACTATCTACTTTGGGATTTTATGCAATTTTAATCATCTAGATTAATTTAATAATTATTAACTACTCACTTTAGTGATGCGTTATGTGCGAGTAATTTATGTTGGTATGTAGTACGTATATGTGACTGTTTCTTTACTTCTTTGTTTGTCTGTAAATTACTGAAAAACATATTATACCCAATGTTTCACTATTAATCATCACTGGTTTAATACTATGATTATACGTTTCAAGTATATAGTTTTACACTCTTACTATGCACAAGTATCTGTTTATCTGTTGTTTATGTACAAGGTGATTTACCAAGAATGCGCCAACCTTTTTTATTCAATAATGCAGTTATTTTTAGTTTTTATTTATTAGTATTTTAGTTATTTAACATATACTAAGGATAAAAGGTCCATGATAATGGGTTTGGAAAATATGGGGTATATTGTGATTTGAACATTTTAGTAATTAATATTGATCCATCAACATTTATAATTTATAAAAATGTTCCAAGTACTTATATTTAATACTAGATCCAATATCCGGTAGGTTTACTATTTTAAAATAAAAATAAAAATAAATGTTACATCTATTTGATATTTTTGTGAAACCATTTTTAAAAAGGTGGGCAAGTGGGTGTCGCTCTGCTGTACAGTAGGTTACAAGTGGGTCACTGTATAATGGATGATATTAAATTTGAATTCAACGATATAATATCATTGTATAAGAAAAACGATTCTGAGCGGAGACGGTATGTCAGTCTATGTTTAAGACATATTATATACATATCTATGGTATTAAACAAAAAATTGACCTATAATAGGTACCTATAATAAATTCCAAATTAATCATATCACAATGTCCATTAGGTACTTATAACGCGTTATACATCAACAAAACCGTGATACTATCATAGATATATAATAGTACACTTTAGAAGTTTCAAGTACCCACGAATAATATTATTCAATCACAACAAAATAACTAAAATAGTTATTCTAGGTTTTTTAATATGTAATTTCGTCCAAATTTGAATTTAAAATGTCTGTAAAAAATAACTGTGTTCATATATTTTTTAGATTTTTTGGTTACAGTATGAACTATTTATGAGAACCTTTGTTTTAAATTTGCAATCCTTAGCTATAAAAACTGAACATTTTATAATTTATTAATTTCAATGATTGATAATTTTCGAGATTTTGATAAATTTTGTCAAAATTTGATCTTTAAATGCTTATAAAAAAAAACTGTGCCTATGTATTTTTAATATTTTTCAACTGCTATTGTAACAGTATATCAGGAGCCTTGTATTAAATTTTTACACTTTTTGGCCCAACAGATAAAACTTTATTGATATTTATAGAAAAAAAAACTAAAAAAAATTGAAAGCTGTAAATGTCCATAAACAGCTCAAAAAGAGTCAAAATATTTTCAAAATTGTATGGTGTATAGAAAATGCTAATTTAAACATTCAGTGAAATTTTCATGTATATACAGTTATTTGTTTTTGAATTACAACAAACTAAGGAAATCGCTACATGGGAAATCGAGTGAATATTCAATGTTGTAAAAATTTGAATTTCAAACGCTCATAAAAATTTAATTTGACTTTCTTATAGACATTTTTTTTTTTGATAAAGGTAGATAATCTTATAAGGAATCTTGTGTTAAATTTTCAAATCTTAGATTTAAAAAGAAAAATTTTTACGAATTCTTAACTCAAAATAATTTGCTAATTTTCGTGATTTTTCCATATTTTGTCAATTTTTGAACTTTAAGTGCTTATAAAAAAAAATTGTGACTAAGGATTTTTAATATTTTTCATCTGCCTTTGAAACAACATATTAGGAGCCTTCTATTAAATTTTCAAGCTTTCGCAACCAACAAATAAAATTTTATTGATATTTCTAGAAAAAAAACTAAAAAAAAATGAAAAATGAAAATGTCCCTAAACAGTTCAAAATAAATCAAAATATTTTGAAAATGTTATCGTGTATAGAAAATGCAAATATAAACAACCAGTGAAAATTTCATGTATATACGTTCATTTGTTTTAGAGTTACACCAAAAACCAAAATCGATTTTTTGGAAAACCAATTTTGCGTAAAAATTCCCGTTTTTCCTTAATTTTTATGTTGTTTTTCCCGGCGCTTGTGAAAACTACTGGGAAATTTATACTTTTGACCCCCCAAAGTACCAACTAGATTCACTTTCCTATCAGAAAAGCTACTGATGAAGAAAATCCAAGCACTTTTACTGTCCTAAAACGTGATGACAGACACAAAAATAAAAAAAAAAATAAAAAAAAAATAAAAAAAAAATAAAAAAAAGGTGGGCAAGTGGGTGTCGCTCTGCTGTACAGTAGGTTACAAGTGGGTCACTGTATAATGGATGGTATTAAATTTGAATTCAATGATATAATATCATTGTATAAGAAAAACGATTCTGAGCGGAGTCGGTATGTCAGTCTATGTATAAGACATATTACATACATATCTATGGCATTAAACAAAAAATTGACCTATAATAGGTACCTATAATAAATTCCAAATTAATCATATCACAATGTCCATTAGGTACTTATAACGCGTTATACATCAACAAAAACCGTGATACTATCATAGATATATAATAGTACACTTTAGAAGTTTCAAGTACCCACGAATAATATTATTCAATCACAACAAAATAACTAAAATAGTTATTCTAGGTTTTTTAATATGTAATTTCGTCCAAATTTGAATTTAAAATGTCTGTAAAAAATAACTGTGTTCATATATTTTTTAGATTTTTTGGTTACAGTATGAACTATTTATGAGAACCTTTGTTTTAAATTTGCAATCCTTAGCTATAAAAACTGAACATTTTATAATTTATTAATTTCAATGATTGATAATTTTCGAGATTTTGATAAATTTTGTCAAAATTTGATCTTTAAATGCTTATAAAAAAAAACTGTGCCTATGTATTTTTAAAATTTTTCAACTGATATTGTAACAATATATAAGAAAGCTTGTATTAAATTTTCAGACTTTTTGGCCCACCAAATAAAATTTTATTGACAATTATAAAAAAAAAAACTAAAAAAATTGAAAACTGAAAATGTCCGTAAACAGCTCAAAAAGAGTCAAAATATTTTCAAAATTGTATGGTGTATAGGAAATGCTAATATAAACATTCAGTGAAATTTTCATGTATCTACAGTTATTCGTTTTTGAATTACAACAAAATAAGGAAATCGCTACATGAGAAATCGAGTGAAAATCCAATGTTGTAAAAATTTGAATTTCAAACGCTCATAAAAATTTAATTTGACTGTCCGGTAGAGATTTTTTTATTGATAAAGGTAGATAATCTTATAAGGAATCTTGTGTTTCATTTTCAAATCTTAGATTTAAAAAGAAAAATTTTTACGAATTCTTAACTCAAAATAATTTGCTAATTTTCGTGATTTTTCCATATTTTGTCAATTTTTGAACTTTAAATGCTTATAAAAAAAAATTGTGACTAAGGATTTTTAATATTTTTCATCTGCCTTTGAAACAACATATTAGGAGCCTTCTATTAAATTTTCAAGCTTTCGCAACCAACAAATAAAATTTTATTGATATTTTTAGAAAAAAAACTAAAAAAAAATGGAAAATGAAAATGTCCCTAAACAGTTCAAAATAAATCAAAATATTTTGAAAATGTTATCGTGTATAGAAAATGCAAATATAAACAACCAGTGAAAATTTCATGTATATACGTTCATTTGTTTTAGAGTTACACCAAAAACCAAATTCGATTTTTTGGAAAATCGATTTTGCGTAAAAATTCCCGTTTTTCCTTAATTTTTATGTTGTTTTTCCCGGCGCTTGTGAAAACTACTGGGAAATGTTTACTTTTGACCCCCCAAAGTACCAACTAGATTCACTTTCCTATCAGAAAAGGTACTATTGAAGAAAATCGAAGCACTTTTACTGTCCTAAAACGTGATGACAGACACAAAAATATATATAAATAAAAATATAAATAAAAAAAAACATACATCATTGTAAAACCAATACATTCATCGCTCCGCTCAGAATCTAAAATATAAAAACATACATCATTGTAAAACCAATACATTCATCGCTCCGCTCAGAATCTAAAAAAACACACATCATTGTAAAATCAATACATTCATCGTTTCACTCAGAATCTAAAATTATTGCCAAGGACTATTAAACTTAATATAAACAATTTAATAATTGAGAAATTACTCTTACAAATTTTAACTTAGGTACATCAAAATTATCCACTAAATAACTTACAATAAAAAAGTGTAGGGGGGTTTTCATTCTAATAACAAAAGTGTGAACAACCCCAGGATACTCCTTTAGTAGTACAAAAAATCACAAGAATTTGAAAAATTAAAATTCCAAAAATCAGAATTTGAATAAATTCAATATGGCAAAAATGGGGTGGCATGCTTGGTGAATCATTCTGAATACAATTAAAACTAGACAGTCACATTTTAAATATTTTGTTGCGCTTTTTAATTTATTTATCTTCGCTTTACACTTTATATTCTAAAACACTGCTTTGTGTAAGTAGAACTATAAATACAAAAACTATAGGCATTTTATACATGTATAACATTTATATTTCCTTAACTGCCTATGTATATTATATATTGATGTACCTACTGTACTTGTATCAACTTTGTAATACGTCCTGCACAATATTGTTATTATTTTGTGTTGTCTCTGCAGACAATACATATTTTATCATAATTACTTTTCTTATGTATAATGCACCAATTTATGTTATAGCTAAATTTTAGGTTTAATATTATATGATTTTATTACTTCTTGCACGATTTTGTCAACTTCTATTGTGGTTTTCGCTTTTGGTGATGGTGGTTGTCTATGTTAACAAAACTTCAGCATCTTGTCTGAATGACGAATTCCGCTGTAACGACGGGCAATGCATTAATTTTATAAATTATTGCGATGGCGTATCGGACTGTTCCGACGGTTCGGACGAAGAAGATTCGTGTTTGGAGAAGAAAAATAGAATTGGTTTGTCCCCGAGTTTTTTTTTTTCATAACTAACTTATAGGTACACACATTTTGCTTTCTTGATTGAAGAAATTCACCAATCAACCACACTGGAACTGTTCACTTGTCCAATAAATAAATGTACATAATACATGCTCAAATGCTTACGGCTATAATAGTTATTTTTTTTTCAATACGTTAAACTCATCAAGAAAGCACTATACCTAACCTAACTACATATATTGTGTATAAACCATTAATCATTATTATATAGATACGTATATTATTTCAACCTAACTCAGGTAAAACTGTAAAATACATTAATACATATTACCGGCTGTCTTATATTAATAGTACTTATACTTGTGTTTTGATATTTTAAACGACCAAACGTAACTTTGTATACATACTGTGTAAAGGTCGGAACTCTGGTCTTTACATTAAGCCCAGTCAAGGAACGGTGTACATCGGCGACGTTCTAGAGCTTGAGTGTATTTGGACCGATGGCGCAAGCGCTAGCGAGTACAGTGAAATTACGTGGGCCAAATTAAACGACGACATGGAAAACAATGTTGAAAACCTAGGATCCGTAATCAAGTGCGTTATTTATGGGTTTAACAAAATCACTCAGTGATGATTTAAATTTTAAAATTTTTTAATAACATCGGAATGACCACTACAGGTTTAATGACGTGAGACCAGAGAACACCGGAACTTACAGATGTACGAAACGAGATAAAAACAATAACATCGTCACTGAAGATTACGAGTTGACCGTTACGCGTAAGTTATAATTTTTTTTATGTTAATTAAAAACTGTCTAACTATGAATTTATACAATTACGCTCCTTGGATTTGCTTTACCTATTATGATTTTCGTAAGTGTTTCAAAACATAAGGTGTTTACTTAATATCAATTGTATTTTAATTGCATTTCTCGTTTACATAGCGACCCCGTCCGACGCGGCTTCGCCATCAGTGAGTACCAAGTACGCGCCATACGGAAAATCTGTTGTAATAGAATGTAACAGCGATCTATCGCTGCCAGTTGAATATTCTTGGGCCAAATTTGGACCTCAAATGGAACCTATATACGATCGCGTAAGACATGATGTATAAAATACATTTTCCACCATTATATTAACTATCAATATTTTTTAGAGAAACTTAACGCTGTACAACGTTACTGAAAAGAGTGCGGGACTGTACTTTTGCACAGCTTCAAACGAAATGGTTAGAATGGATATACCAACGGTGCTTGTCGTCACCGGAATCGTACCCTCATTCCGCCGCACCGACAGCTACCTAGCGTTCCCGACCCTCCTTAACACTTATTTGGAATTAAACATAGAAGTTCACTTCAAACCCGAAATGAACGATGGTACGTTATTGTGGCGTTATAATAATAATATATAACCCTTCTTTTATTTATCGGTTTTAAATTCGTTGTTTATGATAATATTTTCTAAGGATTGATATTGTACAACGGTCAGAAACCTGGTGGCTCGGGCGACTTTTTCTCGTTCGGGCTCCGTGACGGCATTCCCGAGTTCCGTTTTGACGTCGGATCTGGGGCTGCGATCATAAAGGCGACAGAACCAGTGACATTGAACGAATGGCACGTGGCTAGACTCGAAAGGGTTAAAAAACACGGTAACATGTACATCGACGAACGCGGTCCATACTGTGGCGTCAGTCCAGGTACATTCCAAGGAATGGATTTGTCTCAACTCTTGTACATTGGCGGAGTTCCCGACTTTGGGTCGATACACAAAGACGTCGGTTTCCAAACCGGATTCATCGGTAAGTGCTCACAACGGCTGCAAACCCGCGGTGTACTCACGTTAGCCCCCACATAAAAACTTAAATTTTAAACAAATCTCCTTTATAATATATCAACATTTTAACTGATAAAAATATAATTTCAAATTTTTACTGATAATATAATGATTTAATAATTGTTATGAAATTGGTAAGAACCTACCAATTTAATATTTCATCTACGGTAAAAAAAACTACCAATATATTCAAGGTTTTTTTTGACATTAAACCAAAACATTGTTTTTCTGTATGCATATTATTATTATTATACATGTGCATTGTACACTATTTGTACAATATGTGCATATATTTCATTACATAATTAATAACCATATTACTATAAGCCATGAATACATTTGAAAACAGTTTTAATTTAACTTGGTATGCTATTGGCACTGTAGCATAATGTATAGTTCTCAATAATAGTATCATACCTACCGTTCTCTACAGGTTGCGTCAGCGGTTTTAAATCGGAAACCCGTACGTACAACTTGATGAAGGACTCGGTGGACAAACAAGGTTTGGGCACGTGTGATGTTTGTTCCAACAATCAATGTTTGAACCAAGGTATCTGCCAAGAGGCTCAAACCAGACAGGGGTACACGTGCATATGTCAACCCGGCTACAGCGGCGAGTATTGTGACAAGATAAGTGAAGTTTGCACGCCGGGTAAGTTGGAAAGGTTTTTCGAAATCGCATTTAGCAAAATTTACTCGTTGTATAACAATTAAATCATTTTTGCTATTGAAATTGTTTGCGATTATTATAGGAATCTGTGGGCTCGGTGAATGTTTGGCTGGACACGAAGAAATCGAATGCAAATGTAAAATCGGCACTCTCGGGAAGAGATGCGAACGTTCCGTTGAAATCGTCGAACCGTATTTCGGAGGCAAATCTTATCTAGCGTACCCGGCACCGACTTCGCAACAGAAGTATTTAAAAAAAAACCACTCTTACCCAAAATATATTGATTTAATGATTTACATACATCGTTTTCTATAGCGGTCGGAAAATGTTTTAATCGTATTGTTTTCACGTATTTCAGACTAACGATATCCTTGAAAATCAATCCGGCGTCCTTGACTGACGGTGTGATTCTGTACGCCGCTCAAAACCACCAAGGAATCGGCCAATTCATGTCAGTGACGTTGAAGAACAGACAAGTGGAATTCCGCTACACCGTGGCCGGTATGTTAAAATTTGATAACCTGCAGGGCTCGTTAAATTATGAATTCGCTTATTTTTTGTGAAAATTATTTTGACAAATATGATCCTGTATACCTAAGTTTAATTCTAAAATTAAAAACATTTTAGCACATATTTTGGGTTTTTTACATAATACATAATATAATATACACCATACATAATATTGTCAAAATATGTTTGTTTTCATTGTACCTATATTCCGACTTTTAAAATAATATTTCAAAAATTGTATATAACATAATTCCCGAGCCCTAATTATTATTTTGTTTATGATATTATATTGATCTTATTTATAGTATTTTACTTGTTATCGAAACGACGTGTTGTAACTTTTTAATTTCGTTAAGGTATGACGTCCATGCTGCGAAGCAGACAAAATTTGGAAATTGGAGAGTGGACTACGATAACCGTTAGCCGTAACACTGAAACACAGGAATGCAAATTGTCAGTCAATAAAGAAACGCCAATCAGATCCATCGAAAACGGTAATATGCACGCCTTGGAACTGAAAACCCACCTGTTTGTGGGCGGTTACGATTCGTACAAGGTGAAAATCGCTAAATCCGTGGAAGTCGAGAACAATTTCAAAGGATGCATAAAAATGGTAATGCCTGTAGTCTCTGGATGTTTGATTTTTATAATTATGTATAGATCACGAAGATCTAACAATTGTGTTGAATGCTAACTTACAGATATAGTTGAAGCTGGACTAACTATTGTGTCCACAACTTCACCATACGTTATATTATATTTGTATTTACATAATCTTGACATAAAGGTAGCTTCGAAATTTTTTTTGTTTCTATTATTATTATACATTTAAATTACACTCGATGATATAGGTACACGCCGTTACGTTACTCGCGAGTTAATACGTTCGGAATCAAATTAATTTTTGTTTATTGACATATAGTCCATATAGATATAACGCATTAATATATTTTTTTTATAAAGAATAAAAAACCTACATAAAAACTTGAAAGTATAATCAAACTAAAACTTCTGTCAAATTGCGATCAAAGCTTGTCAAATTAATTTAATTATAGTTTCATGTACTTCTCACTATAATATAATACAATAAAAAATAAAAATCAATAAATAATTACCTTATAAATTAATCATTATTTATAATTTAATATACGTTTGTAATTGAAACACTATGCCTGATCTTCTTGATACATCTGGCGCAATATGCACATCATGTATGCTTACACCAAATGCCCAATTAATAAACAAAATGTCTGTTTCAGCTCAAAGTGTCCGGAATGGACTTGGACATTATAAGTTCTACAGTGGATTCCGCTAATACTGAAGACTGCGTAGTTGCTCGGGGAGACGCCTGTTCTTATAACCACTGCAAGAATTACGAGAACTGCCACACCGTGTCCAAACACTACGAATACGTATGCTAATGTGAAAACGGATTCAGGTAAACCGATTTCGATCGAATTGAATAATATTATGATTATGATTTTTTACCGGTCGTGTATAATACTGAAATGGGACGTGTTTTTATATGTAGTGGTCCGAAGTGTGACGTCGAAGCGAAGTTGTGTTCGACGCTGAAACCGTGTCTCAACGACGGCATCTGCACAGACATCGATTCGAGCTCGTACAGGTGCGATTGCCCTCTCGGACATTCGGGACCGACGTGCAACGAAAGTGCGTATTGATGGTGGTAGACAATTTTTAATTTTTGTATTTTTAACGCGGAATTTTTTCGCAGAGGTGGTGTTGGACATCACAGCCAATTTTAGCGGCAACAGTTACCTGCAATTGGAAAACAGTCTACTGGACCGGAACAAGAGGGAACATTCCATATCGATGACGTTCACCACAGATTCAGCCAACGGTCTGTTGTACTGGCAAGGCCAAGAACCTAACAACGATGGCGTGGTCGACAATTACATCGCCATCTCGAGTGAGCCAATAACCGTCAATTATATTAATAATAAATCGTTGCAAATTCAGTTTAATATTTGAATTTTTTTTGATATAATTAATATTAATTTCCTTTTAAATAAATCGTGTCTCGTTTTGCAGTCGTCAACGGCTACGTGGAACTGAGTCACAGGTTCCAAGGCAGATCGACACCAGCAATCCGAGCCACGGACCATCACGTCAACAACAACGAACCCCACGTGATATTGATCCGCGGGAACGGGGCCGAATGGTCTCTGGAACTGGATAGGTCGACCACAGAATACGGTAAAGAACGCGACGTGGACATCCAACAGCTCTTGGAATCCACCGATTTGATATATATAGGTAAGTCAAAACAGCGCTTATTTATTGTCTATACCCTAGTCAGAGGTAGGGAGCCTAGGGAGTCGTGACGACCCCTCACTCATCGAAACACATTTTTATCAATTATTTAAATTTAAATTATTATACTTATATTTCTAATGTCAATGCATTATAATTAATAATTATGTATTCAAATCAATTAAGTTGTAGATTTATGTTATGGTAACTACTAACTATTATTAGTTGTTATCAAGAAATGAAATTAATGTTAGGTTTTATTTTGCATGGATTAGCACTGAACAGTAGTAAAAAACAACTATACAACTAAAACAACTATATATATCAAGTGTGTAGGGAAGTTTTTTTTATTTAATTAGCGTTTTTTAAGTTTAAATCATAGATGTCAATAATCAAGAACTTAACATAGGTACTTGACGCCGGTCCTTACTTCTTAGTGGTTTTAGTAAAAAAAAAGTAAAACATGTCCTTGGGTTTTTGAGTTTTGAAAAAAGCGAATTCTTTTACACAGGTGGAGTACCGGAAGTCATACTGACGACGAACGACAACCATTACAAAGGGTATGAGGGTTGTATCGGTGACGTGCGTGTCCAGGACTCAGGATACGTGAATCTGGGCCAAAAGTCGTTGTCCGGCAAAAACGTTGCTTCGTGTAACAGGTAATTACGTCATACCATGGACGATATTATTTTATGTGCATTAATATAATATAAAATATTATTCGCAGGGCTGTGAAAGCGCAGTAAAAAACTTATTAAAGAACTTAATTCCTTCTACAAAAGCCCAATAAGACAATTTAAAAAACACTCAAACTCATTATATGTTCACAGCCCTGATTGTGTTTTTGTTTGCCCAACCTAATAAGTTATTTATTTTATCTTTGTCTCTCCGACACGCTGCTTTTTCGCGACTCGTGACGGGTAAATAACACTAAAATAACACTAATCGATCGTTTTCGTTTACGACTCAGCTATTATTATAAAAAGAACGACTTGAGGCGTATACCGTCTTCGTTGATATTCACACAAACCACTAACGACCAAGTGGTGTTTCAGGTGGACCCGCGGTGGCCCACGGACCCCGCGTGGCCGGACCTCAACGAAACCGGAAACGTTGTATCCGACACCAATAACGAATGCTTTTGTACACACAATAACTTTAGCATAAGGCTTATGTTAACTACGTTGTTTTTGATATTATTGTTGACTAATTTATAACGTTCCGTGGGAAAATATTACCATTTTACCAATATGTTATTATCCTATGTATGTATATATATAAATTAATATATTATATACCACACTGGTTGTGATTTTATGTTATGTACCATAATAGAGTATATTATGTATATTGTGTATAATATATACTTATTTATAATAAGTGCTATTACAATAAGTATTTATTATAAGTATTATATTATTATGAAAATATGTATTTTGTCTGATGCGTATACAGTCGACGGCTGCAAAAAATGTTAAAATAATTATTCGCAAATCGTTTCGTTTTACACCGTCCGACTGAAAAACATAGTTATTACTTATTAGGTATGTATCACCCAATATCGTTATTCGTTGCACATCGTAAAAATGCATTAAAAAAATAATAAACACGTAAAGACTTAGGCATTGGAAATTTTATTACGTTTAACTTTTATATTTTTTTATAACAAAATAATATATATAGGTACCTATATAATATTAACGTTTATTACTTAAGATGTCACTAAGGCATTTTAAAAGAAAAATTCAAATTTAAGTCAATTTTACGCCAAAAACATATCTATATTTTATATTATAATTTAACGGAAACATGCACTTTTGAATGAGGGATAAATATTCCCCTTTATAATATTGCCCAAACGTACATATGTAACGTGAACGACGGGGCACGGTATATTCGAAAACCTACACACATTATATATAAATATATATATATTATATAGGTACCTACGATCTACCACCGCGTCTGTAAGTCTGTATAATAATGTACTTTTTTAAAAAAACGCAGTAAACACGCGTCTCTCAGTTTTCGCACATAATATTAACAATTAGTAACAACTTGTCGCATTGGTGCAATTATATAGGGTGATGCTATAATGAATTATATTGTATTCGACGTTCGTGCTCTTGCCTCTTATTAGTATCAATGTTTTATTAATTATGATTTAAAAATAGTTTCTAAAAGTAGGTACTATATGAAAACAAATAAAAGTAATAATAAACGAGACAATTGTTTTTTCACGAGGAGGAAATATAAAAGTCCGATGTTTATATTACTTTTACAGTCTGAATTCAGTGGCGTACACAGCTATTTTCAATGGGGGGGGCTTACATATAAAAAAATTATATATATGTATCTAATATATAAAATTCTCGTGTCACAGTTTTCGTTGCCATACTCCTCCGAAATGGCTTGACAGATTTTGATGAAATTTTTTGTGCATATTCAGTAGGTATGAGAATCGGCTAACATCTATTTTTCATACCCCTAAGTGATAAGGGTTGTCCAGAAAAAAATAAAAGAAGTGCTCAAACAGGGATTTTGATAATTTTCGGTAGAAATAATTGTTTATAAATGGTTGCTAAGGTATTGGTTATATATATAAAAAAAAAAAAATAATAGATACAACATCTTTTATATTTAAAAAGAAAAGAAAAGAAAATAATTTCTTTTTATCATTATTATTATTTATATAACCATGGCAACCATTTACAAACAACAATTTCCATCTGAAATCTCAAAATTCCCGTTTGAGCACCTCCCGGGATTGGTCCTCTCCCTTTTTAAATTAGCCTATGTTTTAAGTTGGATCAAAATACACACAGTGTAACAATTTCATCAAGATCGGAACAGTTGTTTTTACGAATATTGAATAACGAATTGAACAAAGTTTGAGACATATTGAGTTGATACATTTAACGGGCGACGAAGTGCACGGGATCAGCTAGTATATATATATATATAATACATTGATGAATCAAAACGATGTACCTATAGTAATTATTTTGTACATAATGAGTAATCGGCTCATTAGCAATGACTTAAGGTGAAATTAAAAATATTTTTACAATTCTCGATTATTATTTAAAAAATATATACCTATTACCTACAGGTAATTATTTAGTATAACTACAAAGTTACACGCGTACATACAATATGTATATAATAATATATTATATACAATTCAATAAAAGATAGGTATAAAGAGAAATTTATTTTTACCATATTAATCATTTTTTTGTACCTAGGTCCTAGGTTGATAATATAATGTATTAAATATTTACCTGGTTCCTCCGAGTTAATTGTATCATAAATTAGTGAGTTAGAAAAATATTCGTTTATTCTTTTCATTTTTATTGTTTTATAAAATATTTAAACAGTAAGTACAATTTACTAAACGTCCAAAGCGTCAGAAATTTGATTGAAAACTGAGAAATAGATTCTATACTATAGTATTAGCGATACTGAGATAGCTATTAAGGCATATTATATCGGATTACACGATTGTCGACCCTCATGTTTGTGTTTGAACAAATTTCCCAATAATTTCATTAATTTGTAACAAGTTATCAATAATATCTACAATATATTATAACAACAAACTGGGTTGCTTATAAGTTATAATATAATGGAGTATAATTTGGAATATAATATTTTTTTAAATTGTCATCATTTTTACTATACATTTTTACGTTATTACGTAAACTGAAAAAATACTAAAGGGGGGGTTTGAACACCCAACCCCCCCCCCCGTGTGTACGCCACTGAGTCTGATGTTTATAATGTGAGTTTATCGTCGGTAAATATGCTGATCGATTTTTGTTGTTATTCTTGTTGGAGTCAGTGGCGTATTTAGGGAGGGGGGTGACCGGGGGAAATTTCCCCGGGGCGCCAAATTCTGAGTCCTCAAAGGGACGCCGTCGCTAGAGGTTTTAACAAAATTATTTTTTTATTTTATTGGATTTGTTACGAAATTATATTAGCGTGATAGATAGCTGATAAGTGAATACCTGTATCTTTCTTATATCTTTTACGTTTCTATACATATTTCTATATCAATAAAATTGAATCGCTGGATCGAGCGTCCGATCGCCTGTTGTGTAAAGTAAACTTTCAAAAATGTCAAGATACAAAGATTTTCAAAAAA